GTTGGCTAAAACCCCTGGGTCAAGAGTGGGCTTTTTAAGAAGGGGTTTAATTACAGCTACTTTAAAGGACTGTGGTACATATCCTGATAATAAAGAAAGATTAATCATATCTAGTAAAGAAGTGCCAATTAAGGCACTTAATAATCATGAACCTGTGTCATCACACAAGGAGGAATAAATGTGAAGATGTGTCAAACTAGCCTTACTGCAGCTGTTTAATTGTTCAAGGATTCAAGGTTATGACTGACTGTGATTTATTAAAAAGAGTGGGAACCTTGCCAGTAGAGTGTACTATAGGATCCGACTGGAGAAAGGGTATAGCAGTTTATTTTAATGCTGCTCAAAAAGTTTAATGTTAGTATTCAAACACAGCCTGTGGTCTGTTTTTCTTTTTTTCTTCAGGATGAGAAATCATCACTTCAGCAAGTAGTCCAGAAACTCCAGGCCCAACTAAACTGGACCAAAGCCCAGTTTCACCAGTCCAGAACCCAGTGTAAAGACACTAAAACCCACTTAGACCAGGTCAGAGTACAACTGGACTGTTTCACAGCTGCCTTGTTGGATCCTGAGGAGGTTCACAGAAGACCAGAGGAGCTGGATGGAGACAAGTACAGGTAGCAGCAGCCTGTAGGATGTGTAGTTGTTTGTAGATACATTAGCGGTCTGTATGACATCTTATGATAACTTACAGTCGGGTTGACTGAGAACCACCTTTGATATCAGGGTAAAACCTACAATATCAGCAAATACAAGATGTCATGAATTCCTTTGTGAATGGAGACAAGTACAGGTAGCAGCACTGCAATACTCTGTCTTTGAAGTGTGATCAGATTACCCAGGATGCATTGGTGATGCTTTTAAGCACTGTTCACGTTAAAAGCAACCCCCGACGAGGATGGGATTCGAACCCACGCGTGGGGATGGATTAGCAGTCCATCGCCTTAACCACTCAGCCACCTCGTCTTTTTATCCCGTGGATTTTCAAAATAAAACATCCCATGCAAACTTCTATTTGTAAAACCATACTAAAAGGAAACAGTTGAGCTACGTAGCTTCTAAACCTCTGGGAGAAACACATACATCATGGAAAAATGACCAAATCAACATAATCTGAGCAAAAACCTGAAGCTGACTCTGAGAACTCTGGTTTGTCCCCCCCAGTATCAAACCATATAAATATTTTTATCTACAGTTATTTTCATTTTCTGCTACTTTATACTTCTACCTCACTACATTTCATACTGTCCAACTTACTCTATTATAATCTATCAGACAACCATAGTTACTGGTAACTTTGCAGTTTTTAAAGCAGATGATCAACTTAATGCTTATTTATTTTAGAGATTAAACTACTTAAGAGGATATAAAGTGGTTAAAATGAGCTCCTACACTTTATGGAATCAGTAATAAACCAGTAACACCACAGACAGGAGGAGACTTTCTGAACAACAATGGGTTTTATTTCGTTATCCCATAGTACTTTGACTTCAGTAATGGCTGGAATTTGAAGTACTCGTACTTCTTCTAAACACTTTGCTGATCACAAGCTGAGAGAAGTGCAGATAAGAAAGAGCTGTGGAGAATGCGGGCATCGATCCCGCTACCTCTCGCATGCTAAGCGAGCGCTCTACCATTTGAGCTAATTCCCCTCTGCCTTAAAGGAGTAGATCACTGAAACTGGAAATGGGTCATGTGCAGCCTGCGGTAAAGTAGTCCAGTGAGTCTGTGAATGTGTGCCTTTTTTTTTTTTTAAGTTTGAGGAGCAACATGGGGAAGTTGTGTATTAGCCTAGAAAATAGAAAGACAGTAAAAAGAATGGACGATAAGTACTCACGGGGGAGGAATACAACAAGAGTAAAAGAAACAGCTTGGAGGTGACGTTAATACCTAGATATCTTATGGTGTCTGTGGTGGAAGGGATGGGTGGTGGTATTGCCGCCAGATTCCAACTCTTTTTGGAAAGTTGTAACAGTGTTGATTTTGATCAGTTAATGGAGTAGTTTGATATTTTAGAAAATGTACTGAGTAGGTTCATGGTTTCTTGTAGTGAGACTTGTGGGTTCTGTTGGTAAAGTAGGATGTCATCTGCGTATAAACTTATTTCATACTTGTATTCCTTTAATATTATTATTCTTACTGATGATTTTTATTTCTTTGTTGATTAGAGATATAGGGACGATAATTAGATGGGAGGGTGGGCTCTTTACCTGGTTTCAGTATCACTGTAATGTTAGCAGTATTTGTATGTGGGAGGATTCTACTGGTTTTTAATAGTTCTTGCTTCATACTGACAAACAGACGTGAGATGGTTGGACAGAAATGTTGAAAGAACTCAGCAGGGAAGCCATCTGGGTCTGGTGCTTTATTAGGAGGTATTAGCATGAGGGCTTTGTTGTTTGTTTTGTTGGAGTTGTTTTGCGAGATATTCCGTGATTTATTGTTGTATTCAAAATGCTCGTGTTTTAGTTGTTGTATTAGAAAGTGTTTATTTTTATTCATAATGTC